AGTCGAATTGACTTCGTGTTAGAGGTAGAAAGGTTTCTAGTTTAGAGAGAAAGCTAGGTTTGTGGGTTAGGAGAGTGGTTAGGCTTTGAGGAGAGACAATTTGGATTTGTGTAGAGAAAGAAAGCTTTGGGGAGATAAAAAATTTGGGTTTGTGTATATATATATATACATAGAGAGAGAGAGAGAGAGTCGAATTGACTTCGTGTTAGAGGTAGAAAAGGTTTCTAGTTTAGAGAGAGAGCTAGGTTTGTGGGTTAGGAGAGAGGTATGGGTTCTATCAACGAGGGAGATTGGGTTATATTTTAGAAGTAGTGCAGTATATTACTAACGAATTGGGGTTTTAATGATTACTATATTCATGTTAGTTTTATCACTCAGTTCAAATCACAAGATTCACAACTTATCACTTTTAAAATTTTAACTTCTCTAAAGCAAAAAGAAAAAGGCTGGCGCCAGGCCTACAGGGCGCCCACCTCAGCACAAACCACTAATTGGGCCAGGCACCAAGCCACCATGAGGTCGGCCCAAGGCTAGGGCCTCTGAGCTCGGTCCTGGTCCAAGCCAGGCTAGGGCTAGGCCTCTAGGATCCTGGGCCAGCCCCTGCTTGACCCATTGCCGGGCCTAATATGGGCTAACCCATCGACATAATTAAGTTGTGTCGACGGGCCAAAAATGTAGGTAGGTGAATTTTTTTTTATCTTAAAATTTCAGATAATCTTATTAGTGCTATCCATGTTGTCTGATTCAGGCAACCCAGAGCAGTCCAACTGGTGGTCAGTTCAAGTGGCCAATCTGTTTTCTAAAACACTGCTTAAGCGACAGAAGTTTCTTAGTCAAATGTCGCAAATGTTCTCTCTCTCTCTCTCTCTCTCTCTCTCTCTCTCTCTCATGTGTGGGTGTTATTTTTAGAGAAATGATCGAGTAGAACGTGGTTCTACCTGATCAGAGGTGGATCCAGCTCACCACTATGCATTTGATGGATGGAGGGTGTTGAAGAGAGAGTGCAACCCACCAAAACATGATAGGCCCTAGGTGTTATTTCCCTTTCTGCCCAACATCATCCATCCTTTCTGCCCAGCATCCTTTTTGGAGTCGGTTTGTGTGTGCGCATGTGTGTAAGAGAGAGCTTAGTCATGACTTCATCGGATGCATGTTATTTTTTCTTGTATGTGTGTGTGTGTGAGAGAGAGAGAGAGAGAGAGAGAGGGAGAGAATTTTTAATGACTTTTTTGGATACAGGTTCATTTATGATGACTGGCTCATGCCACATTCTTTAGCCAAGCTGAAGTTTCCCTACTATTGGGATGAGGAGTGCTTCCATCTTTCTAAGGATGATTATAATGATGAATTGTAATAATCTGCGACTTCCAATTCTTCTTTTCTGTACATTTTGAATGCCTTCTCTTTCACAGATTGATTAGTATTAAATTGTTCTCTTGATGCTATGGTCATATTGATGATTTTTTCATTAAAAAACAGTTTGGTCATCACATCATCTTATGTTAAAGTACTGATTTTTAAAAAAAATTGTTATAAATGTGGTCAAAACTTTTATTGCAGCTTACTAAACTCAACACATAAATTGATTGGAATTGCAAACAAAATTTGTAGATTCTTTAAAAGATAATTCAGAGTGGTTAATTGAATAGTGGTTGATGTGAAAATAATATAAACGGGGTGAGGGCGTGGTTAGAGAGAGAGAGGATTGGTCAGAAAAGTGCACTGGTCCTGGATAAAGAGAAGGGATTGGTAGGGATAAGGTCTCAACATTAAATAATTAATGGTGCATTTCTAGATCTTGCTAAAAGATGCGGTTTTTCATTGGGTGAATAAAGTGGTTTCGGTGCTTTAATACCTACGATGATTTGAAAATCTATTTTTTCCCTTGTGAAATTTAAAGCTTAAAAAAAAGAAAAAAATATCTCTATATCCCTGGTTTTATTTCTTGTTAAACTCAAGGTCTAAAAAGATATCTTCTAACTCTCTAGTCATTTTAAACCTAGTTTTTAACCTAAACAAATGTGGGAAAAACATATTCTTTTGAAACCCAATATTTTATCTCTATTCACTTATATATTTTAAATTTCTTTCTTTCTCTTCTTACGCCTCTCACTCTCTTTTTTTATGTCTCTCATTCTCTCTCTTATTATATTTTTCCAAATATTTTTTTTCTTTCCTCTCGGTGACCTTTCACCATCATGAAGCCACATCTCTCTCTAGAAATTTGGGAGGATGGCTTTGAGAAAAGGTATGCTTTTTTAGATTTGTTTGACTTAAAAATATAAGTTAAAATTAGCTCAGGGGGTTAAAGTAAATAAAATTTACAATTTTTATGTCCCAATATGTCTTTTAAAACTTTGAGTCTATTGTGAAAGTAAACTTAAAAATAAATGATATGGAGATATTTTTCCTAAAAAAGAGTGTAGATTTAGTATATTAAAATTTTGAAAATAGACAGTTTAGATAATAAATTATAAGATGTATTAGGTTCTTGAAATCTTTTTTATTTTATATTTGTAAATCTCGAGGTCAAGATGATCAATTGTAGAGTTTTTTTAATATCAAAATAACATTTTTTGGGGTTGATTTTTATTTGCAGCTTGCCCACCTTCTAAGGTCTTTATATAAACCCTTTCCTTATTTTATTTATTTTACTTTATTTTATTATTTTTATTTTTATTTTTATTTTACAAAACTCGCTTTGCTTAAATTAGGTTGAGGGGTATTTTGCGTGATACATGCAAGAGATAGAAACCAAAAGGGTGAGTTTATATAATGCACCCTTCTTATACTATGGAATATGGCAGTAAGGCGCACCCCTAATTGTTATATGGAATGTAGTTTTCGTGTTGGAAATCTCATAATGACTTGACAATTTGAGATGCAGTTTCCACGTTGAAAACCTTGTTATGGTTTGAAAATTTGTTTTCATCCCTATTTATAGAATTTAAACTTTTGAAAATGGTACATATAGAATAGATACATAAATGTTCAATTCTCATTATCATCATCATAGTTTTTTGTCAATTAATTGGGTTCGGTTACATAGATTTCGGTCTGTCATTCTGCTAGTCATACCCTTAACGAGGTCATAAGTCCCCGTATCTTTTCAGACTACTTCCAATCATGTTTTTTTGGACCTACATATTGTCTTTTTTAATATTTTCACTTTAACTAATTTGCACCTCCTAACAGGTGTTGTACTTGGTCGGCGCCATACATGGCCAGCCCACCTAAGTCTACTCTCTTTCATCTTATTGTATATTAGTGTCATACCTAAATTCTCCCAAATGGATTCATTTCGAATTTTATCCCTTCTGGTCTTGCCACTCATCCATATCAACATCCTTATTTCCGCTATACTCTGGGTGTATTTTTTTTTTGTCTGCCCAACATTCCGCCACATAAAATAAAGTTGGTCTCACAACTATCCTATAGTCCTTCAGCTTCATTGGTATGCGGTGATCACATAAAATTATAGTTGCACATCTCCACTTTGCCCACCCAGCTCTATTTTTGTGTGCGACATCTTCATCAATCTCTCCATTTTTCCAGATTATAGACCCAATATATCGAAAGTACGATCTTCTTTGTAATTCCTAACCATCAATTTTTACTACTTGTTATATTCTCTACTCCTATTATTACTAAACTTGCATTTCATACAATCTGTTTTAGTCCGACTAATTTTAAAAACTTTGGATTCTAGGGCGTCGCTCCAAAGTTCTAACTTTATGTTAACGTTGTTTCAGGTCTCATCGAACAAAACATAAATATTAAATAAAACTTAAAAATAGATGATCTAGATAACTGTTTGAAAGATACATTGTCCTTAGGGTTTGAAATTCTTTTTTTTCTTTGTATTAATATGTCTTGAGGTTAAGATGATAAATTATAGGGTTTTCCAACATCGAAACGCTCCCTTCTCAAAGAATTTGAGGTGTACCTTACCTCAATAGTATTGGAATGATTATATTCGAGGGAACTTAGGGGTGACTAAAATAGGTGATAAGATGAGGGAAAGCGACTTAGATGGGCTGGCCATGTGCAGCGTAGAACCAATAGAGCACTAGTTAGGAGGTGCGTTTTGGTTCAAGTGGAAGACCCAAAAAGATACGGATGGAAGTAGTGAAAAAGTTATAGTGACTTATGATCTTACTAAGGGTATGGCCTTTGATAGAGTAGAATAGCGAAGTGTGACTAGCCTTTGATAGAGTAGAATAGCGGAGTGTGATTAATATAGCCAACCCCAAATAATTGGAGTTAAGTTTTAATGATAATGACGACCTTACTTCAATAGTATAAGGTTGAAATCTTATATAAACTCCAAAATAAGAGTTAAATAGTGTTGGAAAGCTATTTAGTTCAATAGTATAAGGTTGAAATCTTATATAAACTCCAAAATAAGAGTTAAATAGTGTTGGAAAGCTATTTAGTGGGAGAGATGACTCGTTTAGAGGTCATTGATGCTCATACAGGAGAAAAGCAACGGCAAGTTGCCCACTAAAATAAGCTCTCGCTTTCAAATATCTAGAAACACTAAACCCCTACTCCTATTATCTACTCTCTCACTAAAATGAGCTCCCTCTTTTTCAAGTGCCTGCCCACTAAAATTGTTGAGATGGATGGTATTGTATGCGCGTGTCAGCTGATGAAAATTGGAAGGTGAAATGAGGGCTAAAAGTATGTTTGTGAGGAGTTTCATGAAAGGGTAAGGTTTGTTTAAGGTGTCAACCTTATAATATTGAGGTGAACCTGAGAGCTTTGTCGAAAAACACAGTTACGGTGCCCCAAAGCTTAGCAATGATATGAAAATATTTTGTTTCTTTCAATTATGAAATTTAAAGTTTCAGAAATGGTGACGATCTAACTTATCTATAAACTATTGAAAATCTTGAAAATAGACTGTCCAGATAATGTGTTCGAAGATTAACTATTTTTAATACTTGAAATCGCATATTTGTAATGTCCATAAATCTCAAAGTCGAGATGATCGATTTGAGGGTTTTCCAATATAAAAACAACTTTCTCTAATGGGTTTTTAGATGCACCTTACTATAAAGTTGACACTTTATATAAATTTTTCGTTTATGAAAATACAAATAGAAATGACGGATTTTCCTGTTTACAACCATGCTAAATAGAATAAAACAGTCCGCAGGATACCTAAAACTAGAAAGAAAAAAAATACTCTCGCCTAGTATTGCAAGGAAGCAAAAATTTCTTTTAGAGAGTTGTTAAGTTGGATAAGATTATGTGAGATGGATGAGAGAGAATCGTGACATGAGAGAGAGGTGAGTGGGATTGCAACCTATTCTTAACTTCCATTAGAGAGAGAGAGAGAGAGGAGCACCCTACACGAGCCTGTTTGGGAGAGTAGGAGAGTGCCAAAGCAAAGGTCCATTAAGGTCACTTAGAGGGAAGTGTGTTTGGTCGTTTAGAGAAGTGTGTTTTGTTGTTTAGGGCATGTAATATTTTCATATAAAATAAAAATTCATGTATTTTATTTAGTGTAGAAATATTCCCATATCAATTCATTTGTACATCTTTTCAGACCAATCATCTAACTATATTTCATACCATTTCGCTTGTATATCTTTTCTACTAACCATTTAACTACGCGAAGAAATTTTTTTACGTCAAAATATTTCATTTACCAATTCGTTTGTATATCTTTTCACACTAACCATCTAATTACGCGAAGGAATTTTTTCACGTCAAAATATTTCATTTGGACCACCAAGCGTGAGCTCATTGATCTAAATTTGGCTTCTCTTAAATTCAACTTCGCATGCTTAATTATTCCAACACGTCTAAAATTAACATCTTCCCTATATTTTTATCCTCTCTCCTGATAATTACGATACATATATCCGTTTTCCCACTATATTTAATGCTCTCCAATTTAATACATTTCCATTTTTGAAGCTCAACTATCCACTCTTAAGACTTTTGCTTTGGAGAGAGAAAATCTCAAAAGGCACGAAAAAGCGCATCGTAGAGAGAGAAACAGGGCATTTTGGGGATCTGGTGGTCTTTATTTTCTCGGGAACTGAGAGTTCCCAATCAATCCCTGCTCATCTCGTTTCTCAGCCATGATTGCATGCTATTTTTTTTTGTTATAAATGGTGACACCTGATCTAGGTCATCAGCTACCGGTCCAAGAATGTCCTGCTGCTTCCATAAAGACTAAAAAAGGTTTAGGGTTTTAACTGCAGTTAACCGTGGATTTTAAATCCTCCTGAGTTCTTCAGTTCCTTCCTGGGTTCTGTGTCCCTTCAAAGGAAAATTAGGGCTAGGTTTCAGAGCCTTTAAATTTTGATGATCTCTGTGTGGTTATTGCTTCTTTTCTCAGGCTTAGAGGCTTCCTTAAAAGGAAAACTAGGTTTAAAGATCAAAATTTTGGGATCATTCAATATGTTTTGAGCCAATTGTTTCTTATGTTTCTATAAAAGGAAAGTTTGGGTTAGGGTTTCCTTTTCTGAAATTGAGGAACCAGACGATGGCCTATCCATTAAATTCAGGGTCAGTTAATCCAAGTACACTGAGACTAGTACTGATTTTGATGAGTACTTGTTTGGGTGTTTATCTATTAGGTCCACCCTTGTATTGGTACTTTGCAGAAGGTGCATTTGCCTCTACCTCATGTTCTCCATGCCGCTGTGATTGCTCTTCTGAGGCCATTTTCTCCATGCCTCAAGGTAAGGCCAGTTCTCTCTCTCTCTC